TGGCCTGCTGTGTTCATCCAGCTCTACACCTTGTTATCTCTAAAGGTAGGGTTAGGCTTGTTTCACCATAATTGAAAAGCCTGTCATCTTTCTTTATTTAAATTCATACAAAACAAATGATTTGCTAGCAACCATGACACAGCAAATTAGCAAGTGTCACTGTCCGACATGAGAGGTGAAGAAGAGATCGAATAAGGAAGGAGAAGTCAGGCTTCCATTTTCTGGATTGTAAATACTTACGTATGTTTTAAATAATAAGTGTTTTGTCTGCGTGTGAACAAATGTTAACCATCAGTGGCTGCTTAGGGTCTCTGGTGGCACAGTGGTCCTGTTCCTACCTTTTGGACCAGAAGGTTCATATTCAAGTCCCACCTGCTGCGAAGGCGTGTCATAGCATGTCTGAGCAGGTTGACTGACAAGAAAGCCACCTGATATTTTGTTTATTTTAAGAGTGGTCCTTCTGTTGAGAGGCCTGATGCATTTTCAGGGCTGAGTCTTGCATGTTTAAACAAAATGCACTGCTGCAGATTTGTAGGTCTGATTCTGCACAATTGTAGGCACTTCATAAGCTGACCCAATCAGCAGGAAGGTGAGTCTGGTTGTGGATTACAGAGGACCATATTGATCTTGTGGATCCTGGAGGAGTACTTCTCTTGTGTCCAATGAAATAACTTTAGACTAGCTTTCTTATAGCTTCTTTCTCTTCACCAAGTTTTCTGGATTAAAGAATTTATGGCAGGTGCCTGTGTAATGGTTCACATAGCTCCCTCACGATCATATTTGTGTTAGAGGACCCTGATTTGCATAGGTTAATGAGGACCCTACCTGATTTAGATAAAGCAGGGATAACCTGCCAGAAGGCCCAAAATGGTCTTAGACTAGAAGTGAGTTGGTACGTTGGCCACATACATTTCCACTCCCCCACTACCCTGTGAAAGCAGGGCAGAAATCTTTCCACTGGTAAACAAAAAGTCAAGCATATCAGCCCAAATTGGTAGGTTAGTTAGAATACATCTTGTAAATTTTCTAATGCTGCCAGGAATCATTGTTTCAATTAGTTTCTTTTCCAAAAGATTCATCGGCATAAGAGGCTCACACGGGCACAATCTCATCATGGATCAGAGGAAGAGAAGAAGAGGAGGAAGACTTTGGCAAGAAAGGTAAATTAACTTTAAAAAGATTTTAAAACCTATTCTTATAACAGTTGAATTAATGAAGTGATTAGCATAAATGCAGAGGTGGCAGTGAAAATGGTTGCATGTGCAGATGGTGATGGTGACGTCAGTAACAGGCGACAGATATCCCTAAGTCAGAATGAATCTGCGTTTTATGCCACTACATTCCCTGCATCATCATGTGGTACCAGTTGGGCATGTGCAGGTGGCCCTACTGTGGCCAAAGTTCAGGATAGTTTGGGGGGAATGGGGAGAGTGACAGAAAAGATCACATAGTAATGCAACTGTTCAACCAGGCAGTTTCCTTGTGTTAGGAGAGAGAGATAGTGGCTGCAGGCTGAATTTGGATTTGGGCATTGGGGAAGTAACTCTGGGAGCATGAATGCTCCTTGGCCTGGGACTCAGCAGGCACCACTCTACCAGACACCAGAGCTGGCTAATTAGACTATCCTTCTGATTGGAAGGGAGGTGCTTCTGCACTTAACAGTGATATAGCATTCTTAGATGCCATTTCTATGAAACACCACCTTTATTAAACAATTCGCATCATTCAAACTGAACAGCTTGCTAGGAGATGTACTAGAAAAGTAATGCAATGATAGGATGCCATTCTTTAGTAAAGACAATATTTAATTTTGTTTCTATAATTTTTTACGTAATATTCCGTTTTAGTCCAAATAACTCTATAAAACTGTAGCTTTGTTTCTTAAATAATAAAACTGTTCTGTTCTTTCATTGTAGCAAGCCAAGGTAACAAAAACTGATTCAATAGAGGTCTAGTTACATTATTTTACTTGTCGTTTAGCTTTTTTGAATTAATTTGCAGCTATCTATATTTTGTATTTTTATCTGCTTTACTGCATGTTCATTTTTAATGAGCATTGCACGATACAGTGAAGTTTGCTGTTTCTGATTGCATGACTAAGTATGGTATAGTTGTATTTCATAGGTGCTTCTCAGTCTCTTAAAATAAAATATGCTTTTTTTCTTGTGAGCAGAAATCGAAGCAGTCTGTAACTGAAAATGAAGCAGATATCTCAACTAAAAGCAGCAACTCAAACAATATAAACTCTGGTATGTTTTAAATTTGAAAATACATCTAGCAATTAATTCAAGTTCAGTAAAGAAAGATCTCTGTTCTGAAGTTACTTTCGATAGTTAAAGCTTCTGGGTCATTCTTCAATAAATTCTTAGGAAAACTTTCAAATGGAGCTTCTGAATATATTGGTTTCAATTAAATGCCAAAGCTTTGTACAGAGCAACTTATTCTTAATAGATAATGCCTACACTAACCTAACTGAAGATTCTCGTAAAAGCAAGTAAGCATAAAGTGCAGGGGATTGGGGACAGAGTACCGAAACAGATGGGGAACTTTATGGCAGACAGAAAACTGAGAAGGAATAAATGGGTCTTTTTCTGAGAGGCAGCCAGTGACTAATGGGGTGGTGCAAGGATCGGTGCTTGTACCCTAGCTATTCACAATTCATATTAGTGATTTAGATGAGGAAACTAAATGTAATATCTCTAAGTTTGCAGGTGACACAAAGCAGGGTGGGAGGGTGAACTGTGGGAAGGATGCAGAGATGCTTCAATGTGAATTGGACAAGTTGAGTGAATGGGCAAATGTAGGGTAGACAAAGTAATAATGTAGGTAAATGTGAGGTTACCCACTTTAGCAAAAACAGGAAGGCAGATTATTATCGGAATGGCACCAGTTGCCGAAGGTGTGGGTGCAGCTTGTGAAGGCAAATGGTATATTGACCTTCATAGTGAGAGAATTCAAGTACAGGTAGTTCTCCTATAATGTGATAGTTGTGTTCTTGCATTATCTCGTGCTATGGAAAATCGTGTATAGAGAAATTGCTATAGAAAATCACTATACCTGTATAGCAGAAAGTTTGCGTTATCCAAACAGCATCCTCTATTTATCAATCACGTCACAGCCAATTCGCGTTAATGAAACATGTGTTATAACAGAACTACCTGTATAGGAGCAAAGATGTCTTGCTCCAGTTGATTTGGAAATATATCTCAGTTCCATCAGTGTTGTGGGTCAAAATCCTGGAATTCTCTCCCAAACTGCATTATGGGTCTACCACAGCACATGTACTGCAGCAATTCAAGAAAGCAGCTTATCACCACTTTCTCAAGGGCAAAACGAGACAGCAAAAAAGGCTGGCCCAGCCAGTGACACCCATGCCCCATGAGTGAATAAGGAAAAAAATAGTACAGGGCCTTGTTGAGACCACACCTGGAATATTGTGTGCTGTTTTGGCCATCCCCTCTGGGGAAGGATATTCTGGCCAAGGAGGAAGTGCAGTGAAGGTCTACCTGACTGATTCTTGTATTGGCAGGCCTGACATATGAAGAGTGACTGGATCGGTTAGGACTATATTTATTGGAATTTAGATAAGTGAGGGAGGATCTCCTAGAAACATTTAAAATTCTAAAAAGACTAGACAGGGTAAATGCAGGAAGAATGTTCCCAATGACTGGAGACTTTGCAACCAATGACCATAGCTTGAGGCCATTTAGGACTGAGATGAGGAGAAAATTCTTCACCCAGAGCCTGTGGAATTTTCTGCCATAAAAAGCGATTAAGGCTAAAACATTGAATGTTTTCAATGAGTTGGAAATAGTCCTTGGAATTAAAGGGATTAAATGGTATGGGAAGAAAGTGGATACAGGGTAGTGAGTTGGATGATCAGCCATAATTGTATTGAATAATGGAGCAGGCTCAGTGGGCCGAATCGCCTACTCCTTCATTTGCCAGTTTGTCGTGTAAGTAGTACCAAGGTTTAATTCAGTAAAATTTAATGAAGTATTTTAATGCTTTATGAATTTAAAGAAAGGTTAGGGGGAGAAAAGACTTGCATTTCTGTAGTGCCTTGGTGTTCAGAGTGTGTTTCAGAAAATTGAGTATTTGTGAAGTGTAATCACTGTCGTATGCCCCCATTTGGGCAGAAAAAATTCCACAAACAGAAATCTGATGATGACTAGTTAATTTATGTTTATGAGGTTGACTGTGTGACAAAGTGATAATTCCTCTGCTCTTCAAAATAGTTCTGAGGAGCCTTTTGTGTCTACCTGAGAGACCTGGGGCTTTGTTTTAACATCTAATCTCAAAGATGGCATCTTCTGAAGGTTGTTCATACATTTTTCTTCATTGCACCTTTAAAAATAATTAATTTTAAGGGAACTGTAGAATCATAGAATCCCTATAGTGCAGATAGAGGCTATTTGGCCTGTCCAGTCTGAAGGGCTCTCGCCCAGTCCCAGCCCCCTTCCTATCCCTGTAACCCCACATTTCCCATGGCTAATCTACCTAACTCGCACATCTTTGGACTGTGGGAGGAATTGAGCGGTAGTGGAAACCTTTTAGTAGGACTTTTTCATCATTGAGCCAAAACAATTCTGTGGTTCCATGGATTTTATAAGCATCAGTCAATTTGGGATCGAGTATTTCACCTGAATGAGTTGTACAGAATCCAGCCCAGTCAATGCAGTGAACATGATACAAATCAAATACAAAGGAAACTTAGAAAATAATGTTTTACCCCCAGACAAATTTGAGCACTTTTTTGATTTGTAGCATTGTAGAACCTGGGAAGGAATGCTTATGAAATTTAAGGAAACATTGGGCTGATGATCACTTTGGTAGTTCCTTCAGCGTTTTGTAAAAATATTTTAGATCCAAACATTTGTCAGTGTTGAATAAACAAAACTTGTGTATTCATTCCTTTTCAACTATAATTTTTCCTTCAGGCTCTGGTGCTAGTTCTCCTTTAACATCACCATCTTCTCCTACTCCTCCTACAACTGGTAGGTAAAAGTATTTCTTAGCATAAAAATGAAATGTGTAATTGTGTTATTAACAATGTCCTATTTTAGGATGACGTCGTTAGCAAATGACAAATTTATTCTTAAGTCCAAGTTCAGAATCATCAATTCATCTAAGGGTATCATGACTATAGGCATTAAAATGTTTTTTCACGGTCGGTTTCCCCTTATCAAATTATTGTAGTTGTTGCCTACCTAGGGCTTGTGTATTAACAATATTAACTAAATTAATTTTAATTTTGTGCAAATAACTGAGTAATCATTTCACATAGGGTGTTGCCTAAATGAAATGAGTTGTCAGAAAAAGTGGTGGATGCAGCTACAATTGCAATATTTAAAAGACATTTTGAACAGGGACATGAACAGAAAGGGTTTAGAGGGGTATGGGCCAACTGCAGGCAAATGGGACCTGTTCAGTTTGGGAAACCTGTTCGGCATGGATGAGTTGAACTGAGGGGTCTGCTTCCATGTTGTATGACTCTGTAATTGAAACAACATATTTCAGATGTTCAGTATTGGCATTAATAAAGAAGAAAGGGGGTTGTTTTTTGATGTTTGCTTTCAGAAGTAACTAGGGAGCAACTGCTAATTTACATTATCTTATGGAATGCACGAAGTCCAAGTAGTGGACTTAAGCACTGAGCAGCATTTATAGGAAGGTCAGCCATAAGGCTCTTGTGGTGCAGTGGTAGTCTCCCTACCTTTTAGCCAGGATGCCCGATTCAAGTCTCACCTACTCTAGAGTAATACATCCCTGAACAGGTTGATTAGAGAATATCTAGGAAGGGTAGCCATTGATATTAAGGATTTGGGTTCTGGTGCTTAAAGAACAAAGAACAATACAGCACCGGAAACAGGCCGTTTGGCTCTCCAAGCCTGCTCTGACACATTTTGCCTTTCCATATTAGAACTGTCTTCACTTACAGGATCCATATCCCTCTACTCCTTTCCTATTCATGTATTTGTCCAGGTGCTTCTTGAATGCTGCTATTGTGTTTGCTTCCACCATCACCTCAAGGCACTCCCCATTCATTGTGTGAAAACCTTGCCTCTCACATCTCTTTTAAACCCGCTTCCCCCCCACCCCCCACCTTGAACTTGTGTCCCCTAGTAAATGACCCCTTCACCCTGGGGAAAATGCCTCATACTTTCTACTCTATCTTTACCATTCGCAATCTTATAAATTACTGTCAGGTCGCCCCGTCAACCTCCTGCATTCCAGTGAAAAGAAACCCAGTTTATCCAACCTTTCTTCATAGCTAAAATCCCCCATTCCAGGCAACATCCTGGTTAAACCTTTTCTGTACCGTCTCCAAAACATCCACATCCTTCTGGTAGTGTGGTGATCAGAACTGTATGCAATATTCCAAGTGTGGCCTAACTAAAATTCTATAAAGCTCCAGCATAACTTGTCTATCCTTATGTTCAGTGCCCCTACCAATGAAGGTAAGCATGCCATATGCCTTTGTTACTACTTATCTTCAGTGATCTGTGGACCTGCATATCAATACTCCTAACGGTTCTGCCATTCACTGTATAATTTCCACCTGTACTTCACCGTCCAAAATGCATCACCTCACATTTGTTCGGATTAAACGCCATCTGCCATTTTTCTGCCCGTGCCTCAACTGATCTATATCCTGCCTTATCCTCTGACAATCCTCCTCACTATCCGCAACTCCCACCAGTCTTTGTATTGTCCGCACACTTACTAACTAGACCAGCTACGTTTTCCTCAATCATTTATGTAGATCACAAACAGCAGAGGTCCCAGCACTGATCACTGTGGAGCATCACTAGTCATAGCCCTCCATACCGAAAAGCATCCTTCCACTAATACCCTTTGTTTCCTATGACTAAGCCAGTTCTGTATCCATTTTGCCAGCTCACCCCTAATACCATGTGACTTCACCTTTTGTACCAGTCTGCCATGAGGGACCTAGTCAAAGGCTTTACTGAAGTCCATGTAGACAACTTCAACCGCTTTTCCCTCATCAATCATTTTTGTCATCTCCTCAAAAAAACTCGATCAAGTTAGTGAGGCATGACCTCCCCTGCTCAAAACCATGCTGTCTATCGCTAATAAGTCCATTTGCTTCTACATGTGTACAGACCTTGTCCTTGAGAATCTTTTCCAATAATTTCTCTACCACTGACGTGAGGTTGACAGGCCTGTACTTTCCTGGATTAGCCCTGCTACCTTCCTTAAACAATGGGACAACATTGGCTATTTTCCCGTGCTCTTGGACCTCACCTGTGGTCAAACAGGATACAAAGATGTCTATTGATGCTTCAACAATTTTGTTCTCTTGCATCCCTCAATATTCTGAGGGCTAAATTCTGATAGCTCCGACCAGGACCCAGGGACTTATCCATCTTAATACCTTTTAAGCCACATAACACCTCTTCCTTTCTAATAGTAACTTCGCTTAGAAATTCGACACTCCCTTCCCTGAGATCATCCTCCATCAAATCCTTCTCTTTGGTCAATACCGATGCAAAGTATTCATTTAAGACCTCAGCTACCTCTTCTGGCTCCACGCATAGATTCCCTCCTTTTGTCCTTGAGTGGGCCGACCCCTTCCCTGCCTCCCCTCTTGCTTTATGTAAAGAACCTTGGGATTCTCCTTAATCTTGTTTGCTAATGACTTTTCATGACTCCTTTTAGCCCTTCTAATTTCTTAAGTTCTTTCCTACTGTCCTCATATACTTAAAGGGCTTTGTCAGTTCCCATCCTCCTAGACCTTACGTATGCTTCCTTTTTCTTTTTAACCAAGGTCATAACATTCCTGGTCATCCAAGGTTCACATAACTTGCCATACCTATCCTCCATTCTCACAAGAACATGCCGCTCCTGAACTCTTATCAACTGCCGTTTGAAATACTCTCACATGTCCAATGTGGATTTACCCTCCAATCAACATTCTCCAGTTCCTGCCAAATATTGCTGTAGTTTGCCTTCCCCCAACTTAACACCTTCACCCAAGGACTGCTGTCATCCCTATCCATAAATAATTTAAAACTCATGGTATTATGGTCACTACTCCCGAAATGCGCCCCCGCTGAAACTTCAGTCATCTGGCTGGGCTCAGTTCCCAAACCAGGTCCAATATAACCCCTTCCCTGGTTGGACTGTTTACATATTGTGTCAAAAAAACCTCCTGAATGGACCTTACTAATTCTGCCCCATCCAAGCCTCCAGCATATAGTGAGTCCCAGTCAATACAGGGGAAGTTAAAATCACCCACCACAACAGCCCTGCTGTTTTTACATCTTTCCAAAATCTGTCTACATATTCTCTCCTCTATCTCCTGCTGGCTGTTGGGAGGCTTGTAGTATACCCCCAGCATTGTGATTTCACCTTTCCTATTCCTGAGTTCTACCCACACTGCCTCACTGCATGAGTCCTCTGATGTATCCTCCCTCAGTACAGCTGTGAGATACTTCTTTACCAGTAATGCAACTCCCACACCCCTTTTACATCCCTTTCCTACACACCTGAAACATCTAAATCCTGGAACATTCAGCTGCCAGTCGTGTCTCTCTTCCAGCTAAGATTCTGTAATCGCGATAATGCCATAGTTCTAAGTACTAACCAACACTCTGAGTTCATCTACATTGCCAGTTATATGGAATCCCTACAGTGTGAAAACAGGCCATTCGGCCCAACAAGTCTACACCGCCCCTCTGAAGAGCATCCCACCCAGACCCATTCCCTTACATTTCCCATGTCTAACCCACCTATTCTAAACATCCCTGGGCACTATGGGCAATTTAGCACAGCCAATCCACTTACCCTGCACATCTTTGGGCTGTGGGAGGAGACCAGAACACCCAGAGGAAACCCACGCAGACACTGGGCGAGTGTGCAAACTTCTACACAGACAGTCGCCCGAGGCTGGAATCGAATCCGGGTCCCTGGTGCTGAGAGGCAGCAGTGCTAACCACTGAGCAACCATGCCGCATTGAAACACATGCGTTTCAGACCATGACCTCAGCTCTTTTCAACAGTATTTCCCTGCTCATTCTGCGTTCTGGTGCTCATTCATTTCTCTTTATCTCGCTTTGGTTCTTGTCTTTGTGACATACGGTTTTATTCAGGATTAATTAGTTTTTGCATTTAAATTGGTACAGTATAAATTTGCAAGGATAAAAACGGCTTGGAGGCCTATGCTTAAACTTGTTTTACATTACTTTTAGTTTAGAAGGTTTGAAGAGTGATCTAATTGAGGTGTTTAAAATTATCATGATATTCAATAGTGAGAAACGACTTCCTCTGGTGAAATCAGTAAGCATTTGCTTGAGCAAAGGGAGTTAAAATTTGGAACCTTTCCCTGAAGGGTTGGAGTGCTGGGTAAATTTAAATTTTCAGGGCTGAGATTGAATAACTTGTTGGTGGGGGCATGAAGAAATATATGATGAAGATGGATAAATGGTGTAAAAATATAGACTAGCCACAATCTAACTGGCTCAATGTGTTTGTAAGGCTGAGTAGACTCCTTGTTTTCCTATATTTGGAAGGAAAGGAAAATCTTTTGAACAGGTCTGAACTCAGCACTGTATTCTCATTGGTAAATTTAGGATGTATCCATCAATTAACAATTTGAATTCTGCCATATTCAAACACACACCTACTTTGCAGATAGTTTTCAGTACTTTCAACTTAGTGGAGTGAAATAGCATAATTCTGAAGAAGAGTCACTTGATCTGAAACATTGTTTGCTTTCTGTTCATAGATGCTGCCAGACCTCCTGAGTTTCTCCAGCATTTCTGTTCTAATTTCTAATTGAGTTCTGTTGTCTAGTTTTTTTAAAAGTAGAGCTGTTCAGTTGTAGAAACACTTTGAAATTAAAAAGTATCAAATTATGATACATCAAGGAAAGTCTAATACTTTGTGCAGCTCTTTGGGAAACACAAAACAGCAATTTCAACATTTGTAAATGAATTAACTTTTTTCAAACTGAGGTAGTGATTTCATTTAT